TCTTCATTCACATGTTCACTTAAATTTTCCCATTGTATGTTCACATTTATGAATTGCATCTAGAGATATCAAACATATTTTCGATTATAACTATAGATATAAAATAATACATTATAGAAAACAATGGCTTAAAGGTCATGAAATCGGGGTCAGTCTGTGAAAGCTGCCTGTAGGAACTTTAAATGTCCAACAGGTGTCAGTATTCAGTGACACAGAACCAACACATTATCAATACAGTTTGCAAATGTGTCAACGCTTCATGACGCCTCATGAACCCATCACTAACGGACAGTATTGACCCAAACAACAAAAAAACCTTCAGAGTAATCCTATAGTTATCAGGCATTCTATGAGTTTTTGTGAACTTTTAAAAATTTGAAGCTTACCTGTTTGCAAACAGGGAAACATACTTGTTCCCATGAATAAAATTGTCCTATATTATATTAGATATTTCACCAATAACAGTGCCCCGCTGGGCTGTGTCACAGAGACATATGACCAATAGGACTTGACTCTCTAGATTTCGCAAGATGTGAGTTTAGAGCGAGATTACGCAAGACATGCACAGATTTATGCGGATTCAGCCTTTGAGGGGATGCTTCATGTTCCTCCTAAATATAGATCTCATTCAAAAGCTCCAGGAATGTGGGTGGAGCAATTCTCCTCTCTCTTAGCCTAAGACTCAAAAGCATCATATCAGACTTGGTGGACTTGGTAAATAAGATTGATCTTATTAAAAATAAGATCATAAGCACTCCTCTATCCGCGATTGTACCTGAGGTAGTCATGGAATCTGAACCGGGTTTAGACTGCTTTGATCCAGTTGAACTCTCTGAATTAGCAAAATTATTGTCTTCATCTAAGCCTTCAACTTGTATGTTAGATCCAGTTCCAACCAGGTTATTTAAGGAGGTATTCCCTTTGATCTCCTCCTCCATTTTAGATGTGATTAATCTATCTCTGTTACAGGGATATGTACCTAAAGCTTTTAAGATTGCTGTAATTAAACCTCTGCTTAAGAAACCGTCTCTTGACCCAGATGACTTGGTCAATTATAGACCTATATCCAATCTTCCTTTCTTATCCAAAATTCTTGAGAAAGTAGTTGCCAAACAAGTTTGCGATCACTTCCACCATAATGAACTTTTTGAAGAGTTTCAGTCTGGCTTTAGAGCTCATCATAGCACTGAAACAGCTCTGGTGAAAGTCACTAATGATATTCTCATGGCCTCAGATAATGGACTTGTATCTGTGCTCGTCCTGTTGGATCTTAGTGCTGCATTTGATACAGTTGACCATAATATTCTTTTAGAAAGACTTGAATATTTTGTTGGAATTAAAGGAACAGCACTAGACTGGTTTAAATCTTATCTATCTGATCGAATTCAGTTTGTTCATGTTAATGATAGATCTTCAACACGCTCAAAGGTTACCTGTGGAGTACCACAGGGATCAGTGCTAGGACCAATTCTCTTTACTTTATACATGCTCCCAATTGGTAGAATTATTAGACAGCATGGGATTAATTTCCACTGTTATGCTGATGATACCCAGCTATATCTGTCTATAAATCCAGATGAAGCTAACCCATTACATAGATTACAGGCATGTCTTGAAGACATAAAAACCTGGATGACTCTTAACTTTCTGCTTCTGAATGCAGACAAAACAGAAGTTATAGTCTTTGGACCAGAGTCTCTGAAAAAGAAACTGATTAGCCAGTCACTTCATTTGGATGGGATTAAACTGATTTCAGATAATAAAGTAAAAAATCTTGTTGTTATTTTTGATCAGGACCTGTCATTTAAATCCCATATCAAAGAGGTTTCTAGAATTTCCTTCTTTCATCTGAGGAACATTGCAAAAATTAGAAATATCCTGTCCAGGGGTGATGCTGAGAAACTAGTCCATGCATTTGTTACTTCAAGGCTGGACTATTGTAATTCTTTACTATCAGGAAGTCCACAAACTGTAGTTAAAAGCCTTCAGCTGATCCAAAATGCTGCAGCCAGAGTTCTAATGAAAATGAAAAAGAGAGATCATATCTCTCCTATCCTGGCTTCTCTTCATTGGCTTCCTGTTAAATCAAGAATAGAATTTAAAATCCTCCTTCTCACATATAAAGCCTTAAATGGCCAAGCTCCATCTGATATCAGAGATCTGATTGTTCCTTATGTTCCTAACAGAGCACTTCGCTCTCAATCTGCAGGTTTACTAGTGGTTCCTAGAATTTCTAAAAGTAGAATGGGAGGCAGATCTTTTAGTTATCAGGCTCCTCTCCTGTGGAACCAACTACCAGTTTTAGTCCGTGAGGCAGACACCCTGTCTACTTTTAAGGCTAGGCTTAAAACTTTCATTTTTGATAAAGCTTATAGTTAGGGTGGCTCAGGTTATCCTGAGCTATCTCTATAGTTATGCTGCTATAGGCTTAGACTTTTGGAGGACATAGGGACCCCCATTTCATCATTCTGCTTCATTCTCTCTCTGTTCTCCTATTCTGCAGAATCTGTTAGTTCAATCTCTAACCTTCTGCTCTCTCTGCTTTTCCTCAGAGTAGCTTTGCCTCGTCTGTTCCTGTTTGGCTGTGACGTCATCCTGAAAAAAACATCAGCTGTGCTGCTTCCATCAACACCCTTGTTAATAGATGTTGGAGATCGGCCTGTTTTCCAGTGTGGTCCTGTTTCTCTGACCGTGGCTGAGTGGATGTGCTTTCTTCGTCCTCTGGCATGGGAGCTGCCTTGGAGCTCGTCTGCCTGGCTGTGTGTTTCCTGGACGGGGCCGCCTTTTACAGCTGCTTTTTGTATCTCTGCTTCTGTCTCCTTGAACCCCAGTCGGCCTCGGCAGATGGCCGCTCACACTGAGCCTGGTTCTGCTGGAGGTTTCTTCCTGTTAAAAGGGAGTTTTTCCTCTCCACTGTCGCTACAAGCATGCTTAGTGTGGGGGATTGTATTTGAGTCAATGAGTCAATGCAATCAACTGGTTTTCCTTAGATAGAAAACTTTGTATCAATTTGACTGTATGATCTGGTTGAACTGTAAAGTGCCTTGAGATGACATGTGTTGTGAATTTGGCGCTATATAAATAAACTGAATTGAATTGAATTGAACCTTTGAGGAGTTGCTCAATTTGTGCCTTGTCTTTGGAGGAAGGTGGTAGGCCACCTTTTTGGAGAACTTTATTCAGAACCCTCTCCAGTCTCTGTTAGGTTTCTGTTTCTGTTATGTTTTTCTTTTGATGTTCAGTTTTGCTTTGCTCCTGGTTTTATTAATTTTTTTTATGGTTTAATTCTTATTTTGTTGTGTTCTTTGGGTTTTTCTCAGTTACTGTCTCAGTCTTGGTTCTATTATATTTTCTTTTTAGTGTTCAGTTTTGCTTTACTCCTTGTTTTCTAGTTTTAGTGGTTTTATTTTTATTTTTGCTGTGTTCTCTGGTCATTCTTAGTTACTGTTTCAGTCTTGGCTCTGTTATGTTTTTCTTTTGAGTTTTCAGTTTTGCTTTGCTCCTTGTTTTATATTCTTTGTGGTTTAATTGTTATTTTGTTGTGTTTTCTAGTTATTTCCAGTCTTCTAGGTTTTTCTTATGTCTTCGCCTCTGCTGCCCTCTTGTGTTCTCCTTTTTCCCTAGCTCTTTTCCTCTCCTGCCCTGTGCTCACCTGTTCCCAATCTGCTCATTAGTCCCTCTTCAGTTTTTGTTTGCTGGGTCCTCGTCTAACCTCGTCAGTCTTCCTCCAACTCGTCTCTCTGAGCCCTCCTCCTGGTTACAGTTCTTACCCTGATGACTCTTAGGTTTTTGTGACGTTTGACTTGCAGGGCTTGATGTTAACCATTGCCCGATCGCCCGGGGCAAGTAGTTTTTATTGTCAGGAGAGTACAAATTTCATTGCATTTGCCTGCTGGGCAAGTGCAATGATCGCAAAAAAAAAATTATTTATCACTCAAATTACTTTAAAATCACCAACATTCGCTGAAAACGACCCACGAGCGTTGCAGGCGCCATTTTTGTTGTTTTGTACACATTCTCGCGTGATTTGAAAAAAGCCGCGTGATAACCTTAGATGATAAATTATCGGTTAAGGATTAGGAAAATTGAAATAATTGTATGCCATGCGCACAGTGTACATCTTTCTAACATATGGCAGTCTTCTGTACAGTGATGCAGGTCATACATTAAAAAACTGTTCATTAAATTTTTTTCTCTGAGACATTGGAGAGGTGCATTTAAATGTTATAGAGCTAAACATGTTAAATTGGTGACCTGTTATGTTATTATTATTGTCTTGTTGCTGCATTTATTTTGAGGGCCCGGTGGCGCCAGTGTACGGCAGTCCCGCTTCTGTCAGTGAGCCCCAGGGCAGCTGTGGCTACAATGTAGCTTGCCACCATCAGTGTGTGTGTGAATGGGTCAATGAATGTAGTGTAAAGCACTTTGGTCAAGTCTCCTAACTTGAATAAAGGCGCTATATAAGTACATGCCATTTACCATTTGTCAGGGAAAACTAATCCATAGTCAGTTAAAAGTCAGGGAATTCTGAAATGATGTCAGACTGTGGAAACTCTGTATAAAATATGATTCTCTAGAAAAGTCACATTATGTTAATAGTATTATCTTGTATCAACATACCGTGACTCTAAAATAAAAGTTATTCATTTGTGACATTGACTTCTGTCTTGTGATTTATCTTAAGTTTTTAACCTGTCAAGTTTTTTTTTTAGATTTTTAACATTACAATTTATGTTTTTCCAAGCACACAACAGTTTAAAGCAAAGTTTAGTTTAAAAAGAAAGTGCAGGAAGGATTGAAAAGCATGTTATCACAGTAATGTAGGCTTGAGTTCATTATCTGACGCATGCAGATACACACCAGGAACCTGGAAACTTAAAAAATACTGAATTACAAAAAACATTAAAAAAAACAAACATGTTTCATTGATATATATACAAAAATAAATATTAGGAACTATATTTATCAAACATTATACTGGGCAAGTAAAAATTGTTTCTGGGCAAATGAAATGTGAAAGCCACTATTTTTTGGCAAAAAACAAATCTATAGTACTTTTCTTTCCCCTTGTCTACAACAGCAATGTGCAGCTGATGATACCACCACCATGCTTGTAGCTTTCACAGCAGATCTGTCTCTAATCCTCACTGCTTCACTCCTCTGTTTTCTTTGTCCCAGCAGTCAATCAGCAGTTTAACAGTGTGTGAGGCCCTCTGGTGGATGTATTGAAGGTTTTTGTACAGAGTTCTGGTGTTTCCTGTCACTGTGGGCTCCAGGGCACAGTAGTACACAGCAGAGTCTGACAGTGCAGCAGAGGAGATCAGCAGCTTTGATTGTTTCACCGTTTTGTTGATGTGAACAGAAAACTCTGAACCACTTGGATGAATCAGTCCTCCTTCTGTGATGTAGAGCAGGAACTCTGGTCTGGATCTCTCCTGCTGTCGGTACCACTGGATATTGTTGATAGAACCAGTATATTCACAGCTCAAACTGGTGCTTCTTCCCTCTGAAACAGCTTGTTCCCTCTGTTCCTGTTTGATGGTGTTCATGGAGCCCATGGCTGTAAAAAAGGAGTCATTAATGTCAGTTAAACATAAAGAGATTCAGCAGAGGTTCTTTACTCTGTGCTCCACATGTGATCACAATAAGGTTAAAAGAGAAAATCAGAGCAAAGCTTTTCTCTGTGCTCTAACACTCACCTATGCAGAGAGAGAAAAGCAGCAAGAAGTAAAGAAACATGTTTTCAGGTAGAGTCAGACAGCAGAGGAACAAAGTTGTTCCACTGCAGCAGAATAAAGACTAAGAAGCTTCTCTGGTGCACAGACCTTCTCCTCAACATCAAGCTGCTTTTAGTGCAGCAAACACAAACCATCTCATTGGCTGAACCCAGCAGTGGGGGGAGGAGTCAGAGAAAACATTTTACTGTCAGTGAGAGTATTGGTGACCCTGAGGAAGCAACTGAAGCTGCAGATGGTTGGACTGATTTTAATCACAGCTCCTCTTTCTTTCGTGGGATCAACTATAGGAACTCCATAACAGGAACGAAATAGGAATTGTGGGTAAGCATGGTACTCTGGACTACTGTGCTGAACCTGGATAGGAGTCAGCCTTATTGAGGTAATTATGCAACAGAAACCAACATGAAAGATGTGAGTCAAAACTCCGACTGCTGCCCTCTGAAAAGCTTAAAGTAATGTAGCAAATGGTAAAAACTCTCCATTATAAAACCTGTAATATATACAGGTGCATACATCTGCATGTGTCACCCAGCAGTACACGTGAAGAAATAATGTAATCCTTGTTTAATTCCATGAGGAAGGCTGTATCTAAATGTCCTGTCCTAGTCACTCTTTTTTCTCCTCAAGATTTGTTCAACATATGAACTGTTTCCATAAAAAGTGTGTAACTTGTTTAGGTTAACTCTGTGGGAAAACCTTTACAGCTGCCCTTTGTAGAATTTAAGTTAGTGAGAGAACATTTGTCCAATTAGAGCAGGGAAGAACATTGAGGTCCTTGTTCATCAAAGTACATCCATATTTTGTATAAACACCTTGAAGGCATCCACTATATGTCAAAATAACCATAGCAACGGTGTTACCAGTCATTCAGAGACTTTTTTTCACACATAAGGGATATTTTTCACAAGCAACCAGCCACTTAAAGAAAGACACCTGCTCTTCACCAAAGAAACCTGCTAAAAGTAGTTTCTCTGCTCAAATCTGTTTGATTCTACAAACTTCAAACAACTCTATCTGTCATTATTCTGCCCTTTTTGGTTCTGTTTAAGTTTCCTTTTTAGTTCCTTTTTGATTTATGTAATTCTGTGTTTTCTTTTCAATTTTGTGTCATATAGTTTTTTTTTTGTTATATTTAAGCAGTGTTGTATTTTCTGAGTTACTCTCTGTTGCCCCCTTGGGCCCGTCTCCTTTCCCCTAGCTCCCTTCTAGTTAGTTCTATCCACACCTGCTCCCTATCAGCTGATTAGACCACCATCTTTCTGTCAGGGGCATCTCACCGCAAGTACGCTGTGAAGGACAATTAATGTTTAAAACAGTTCAAGATGTCACAGTGATTGAAATGACTACAGATTTCATCAGAATAATTATATATTATAGTATAAAATAATCCTGAGATGAACCATGCCAAAGCCCACCACTACATTTACAAGACGCATTTGCACATCACAGAGGTGCACAGCTGTTTAATAAGAAGGCTTTTTATTCATAGACAGATGGAGCCCTTATAGCAAAATGAGTGCAATCAGAGCTCTGTTGGAGATCTATTTGATGTGGATTGATTCTGTTAGGATCCAGTTTGTGTGGGTTGTTCTTGTGTTTCCCTCTCTCCACCACCAGGCGGTGCCCTGTCCTCGTTGGGCTCCCTGCACACCTGCGGTGCATTGGGATTAAACCCCCACAAACTGCATTAAAGGATAAACCAAGAGCCCCCCAAAAGTGAGTGCCTCTCCAGCAATATTCAAGCCTCAGTCTATGTTCCCACTGTCCCTGAACTGATCACAGTGATCTCCCCTTCAGAGTTTCCGGTTCCGGTTCACCAGTCCGCTGAGTTCCAGCATTGTTTCCCCACCAGAGTTTCAATCTCCATCAGCGTTTGCTAACCTACAATAAACCTGTTTTACCCTTGGTGTCTGAGTGGTTCTCTGCATGTAGGTCAGATCTTTAAAGTCCACTATGACAGATTCAGGTTTACCTTTGGGGAATGTTTGAAATCTGAGCAACACTACGGATTAGACTGTTCCAAATGGCAGGCATGAGATGACTTAAGATGACTGGTTAAAACCCTTGGTGTCAGTCAGCTCCTTACAAACAAATTGAGGTACAAAGAAAGTGGAATAATGAGAACCTTACCAAGTACCAGCATGCACTGTTCTGCCAAGCTTTGCTCTTTAACACTGGTCAGTCGAAACGAGCAAATAACTCATGCATCCTAATGTTTCAGGAGGTCTATAAGATCACTGAACAATCCCGCGATAGTAGTACATGGACGACACCAAGGCTGCTATCCTCCAACAATTATGCCTTTTTTCAGGTATTTATGGATATGTGAGATTATCTAGTAATTTGCCTACTTATGAATCATCGCACTAACTTCGCCGACTTTGATTTGCATTTAGACTGAAAATGCCAATTAAGAAATTAATGTGGATTGTTCTGTCATGATCTTAGTATTGATCTCTGGTCTGATCACTTATTTCACACACCTGCTAAGCTCAGCACAGTTCTCATTACCCGCTCATCAGATCCACCTGCATTAGTCACTATATAACCAGCCTTCAACTGGTCATCAGTGCCAGATTATTTCAAGGTATTGGTGAGACATTTTGTGTTCTGACGACCTGATCCTGACCTGTCTCTTGACCTCTGAGCTTGCCTGTCCCCATCTGATTTGTTTGCCTGACCTGTCTTCTGACTCCTGCCTGATCTCTGCCTGCTTGTGTATGGATCGGAACTATTTCCTGACCACTGAGTTCTGCCAGACGTCGTCCAGCCTGTCAGCCCCACTGTAACTGGAACTGTGACCAGACTCCGTCTTGGATTCTCCTTCGGCATCTCCCTGGAACTCTGACCTCCTGGCTCTGACTACCAAGCACGTCACTGACATATACTTTGGCTTTGCCCTGTGGATCATCCTGCCTACAACCGTCTGCTCAGTTCTGATCTCCTACCTGTCCTCTGACCTCCAATACATCAGAGTCTGGGACTCTGTGTGTGGCAAACAATGTGCCGCATTGGCAGCCGAACAGCCAGGACCATCCTCTACATCTGGATTTGGACTGAACCGACCAGATTATTGACTCACACGTTCACTAACCTCAACCTCCAGATATAAGTGGTCACTAACCTGCTGTCTCCACCCGCAGAGGTTCCTGCCTTAGACGAAGACTCCACTCACTCTGATTCTATTTTCAATAAACATTCTAAAAGAAAAAAGTTTGCCTGCCTTGAATACTGAATCCTTCAGCTCTGAGCCTGACATGTTCAGGTTTAACTCCCAAAAACTCAAATTGATCAACATAGAGTTTGATGCTCCTTGAGTTCAGGAAAACAGGTTCAGTCAGAACAGTTTGTTGTTACTGAAAAAGTTTGCTTTGCTGCTGTACTTATTCAGAGTAAATCAATTTTATTCTAATGCACATTTAAAAGCTGCAGTGTTTATTTAAGTGCTCTTCATAACAAAGTTAAGAATAAATAAAATAGACATAATAGCAAGTTTGACAGCAAGAGCACTTTCACACAGAACTAGACATCAGCGTAAAAAGGTCAAATATTTCAATTGTTCACCACACAGTTTCAGGCTAAGGTCATTTCTATATAAGCTGAGACGTGCATAAAATATAGTGTTGCTGCAGTGATCCATCTTCCTTCTCATAACAAAAGTTATTTTATTATGAAATAAAGAATCCGTTGAACATAACATTATCAATCAGTGAAGATCAGTGAGGGTCACTGTTAAAACAAAAGTCTATTTGAAATATTTGTCCATGTTGATTGTTTCAAATGCTTCTGAGTAGTTCATCAAAGATACACTGAGGTGGAGCTTTGCTTTTATAAGCATTGACTCCATAATGAAAGGCCAAAATCATTGACATACCCTGTAATGTAGTAATGAAGGAATCTAAATGCAGCTGCTCAGACCATCCTGGGATATTTTTACTAGCCGCTGTTCAAGCACACAAAAGGCAATGTACTTTATATCAAAAACCTCAGAGTATGCTTCCCTTATACCTAGAGGCAGAGGTTTCATAATGATGGGTGGACGAAGGTTCTTATTCAAACCATTCATTATAGTTCAGTGGATCATATAAATAAATAAGTATCTCTGATGAATAATGCAGTTTGAATTATTTTGGAGTTGGAGTTTACATATAGTCTGAATACTTACTATGATAATATGATCATGTAATTCTTAAGGAAAGTGAACCATATTTATACAATTAAGTGCAGATCTCACCCCAGAGGAAAAGAGTTGCTTTGATGAAGATTTTAAGATGATATAACCTGTGAAGTGTTATATTCAAAATACTGCCCTTGTTTTTGTATGGGCTTTTCCTTTCTGATTTGTCTAAAAACCATGTACACCTAGTTGTGACAGACGGAGATCCTGGATCGTCAGATTGAAGGATTTCTTCTCATTGTTGATGTCAGCATTAAATCGATTGTAGTTGAACTCAGGAGCTTTATCTTTTGTTTGATAGTATTGGTTCAGCATGTACTTTGGGAAGCTGTTTTCTTCTTGTTTATACCAGAACATGGTATATCCCGTACTGCTGGTTTCAAAAATACATCCAAGAGTCATGGATTCGCCTTCAGCAGCAACATGTCCTTCTGTCTGCGTCACTGAGTCTCCTTTACACTCTGAGGAAGAACAGAACATGCAGAGGAAGAGATGAATCAATAAAGATGATTGATTAAAGGAGAACAATCAGCAGCTTTAAAGACTTCTATTCCATGTAGAATAGATGTCATTTTCTCTGATCATTGTCACTTTGAACCATATCAGGTGTTTCTACAAGGTAACAAATGGCAGCAGAAATGATCTGCTCTGATTTTCTGTAGAATGAACATTAAAGCTCTTCATGTAGAGCTCAGTAATGTGTTCAAGTGTTTGAAGAGGAAACATGTTGAGCTTTCTATCTTACCAAAGAAAAGAGCAGCTAGAATAATCCACAGCCAATGTTCCATCTGTCCAACAAGGTTTAAATCAGCAGGAGAAACTAGCTGATGTTCAACATTCAGTCTGACTATTGTTCTCTTCACAGCAACACTTATTATTGACACAATGCTGGAACACAGAGCACAAGGAGAGCTCCGCCTACTGGATGATGGCGCCCTCTAGCGGAGATTTTGTACAAAGTTCTGAGGGGGACAGAAATCCCTACCCTGCTGAAGTTAACATCACTCAAAAACTGATGACTTGTCTGAATTTGAGCTTTTAAATTAGTTTCGTTTTCTCAGAAGTGATTGAACCTTGAAATCATTTCAGCTTTTAAAGCTGAACTAAAATAAAGAGGGTTTACCCTAGACATGTCTGCAGTCTACTGAAGTGGAAAAGACAAACAACCATATACAAACAAAGAGAAAACATAAACCATGTGGTAACATAAAACACAAACCTTTGTTTGGGCAGTCGTTGCTTGTTTCTTACTGATAAGATTTGAAGCTCAGGGTAGCAGCTATGTTCACAGAGATTGTTCAAAAAGCATAAAACTGTGATCAAGAGCTGTGGTGTGTGGTTTCTCTTATCTCTGAACAAAGTCAGATATCAGTGTTCATGTTTTTGTACAGCCTCTCCTATAATTTGTGTCACTGTGTTTCCAGAGCACAGTAGTAGAAAGCTGAGTCTGCCACGGTTGGTGTTTCTATAATGAGCTCAGTTGATGTTTCTGTTGTTGTTGATTTGTAATGATGGTCAAGGGTGTAACTTTCATTATTCTTTTTCTTTCCCCCCTTATACAGCAGGAACTGAGGAGCTTGAAGATCAGAAAATTGTTTGAACCAGTGAAGGATAGGATGACCAGATAATGTCTCATATTTGCATTTGAGTGAGACAGCTTTTCCCTCCATCACAGGATCTTTCTCTGGATCAGAAATGATGGAGTCTTCTTGAGCGTCCAGGCCTGAAAAAAGTGGACGAAATATAGTCATTTGACAAAAACAGTCGAATGACAAAATAACCCTCTATTATGTCACTCCATGGATAATCAAAACTAACTGTAGTAATCTGTCAGTTTAGTGTCAAAGATGCATCATCAGAGCAAAAGAAGCATAAAAGTAATGAAATGAAGTTTGTATCTGTGGTTAATGCAGCTCATGGAACAAAACCTGAATTTCTGTCCTTAAACTCACCTTGAATGTGAGAAAGAAAGAAAAACAGGTAAAGCCACATGTCTTTGGAGTACTTGAAGCTAAACACAGCAAATGAACACTTCCACTGCTGGAGAAGGAAGAAGATATAATGTCATAGGATGAGCTCGTTCAGTGGGCATGGCCACCTCACACAACCAATCAAATATGTTTTCTTCTTCAGCAGCAGCTTTGTTTCAGGGTCTGTATTCAAAAAGATTATCAGACTCTCTGAGCTCCTATCTAGGCCTCGTTCAGCTCCTCATACAGAGCAACTCTAAACAAAGAGCTAATGGAAATTTCAGTTTTAGTGTGAAGGTGTGGTTGACCCAGTTTCTAAGAGCTACGATTGGTTAATACAGGGACCAAATCTGTTACTACTATCAATGAAAATGTACGAATTGATGAGATAAGTGGATTCATAAATATGTGACATGATAATAAAATTTAGCCAAACTTAATTGTCCAGCATTAAAATATATTATTCTCCATGGTTGTTTTTTTATTATTCATCTGTATGATATTAAAGGAATAGTACACCCAAAACATGATTTGCCTTCATTTTCTACTCACCCCTATGCTGAACAACACTCTGGAGTACTTTTTTGATATCTCAAATGCATCTGGAGATCTGGGAGGCTTCTTGCTGTCTGCTGACATTCAAATAATGGAGGTCTATGGTGACCGAGACAGAAAGGTCCATAAAAGTCCACAAAAAACGTGTCAATATCCCTCCATACTGCTCGTCCAATGTATTCCAAGTGTCCTGAGTGGGTAGCATCCAGAATTTACTCGAAATGAAGTAATTTAGAATGTTTTTAGAGCATAAACAGTAGTGTATAGGATTTCCTAAAAGCGCGTTCACGAGTCTACGGAAACCGCGGCAGACCAAACCAGATGAAAGTGCGCATTCAGCTCAGCAAAGAACTCATGCTCTTCCTCAACACTGAAGTCCTCAGACATTTTTCTTTCGTTGTTTCTTTCTTTGCACAGGTAAACAACACATTTCTTCTTCTACGCTTGCATTATCGGCAGAGCAGACGCTGAATGCGCACTTTCATCTGGTTTGGTCTGCCGGCTTCCGTAGCGTCGTGAACGCGCTTTCAGGAAATCCTATACACTACTGTTTATGCTCTAAAAACATTCTAAATGACTTCGTTTCGAGTAAATTCTGGATGCTACCCACTCAGGACACTTGGAATACATTGGACGAGCAGTATGGAGGAATATTGACACGTTTTTTGTGGACTTTTATGGACCTTTCTGTCTCGGGCGCCATAGACCTCCATTATTTGAATGTCAGCAGACAGCAAGAAGCCTCCCAGATCTCCAGATGCATTTGAGATATCAAAAAAGTACTCCAGAGTGTTGTTCAGCATGGGGGTGAGTAGAAAATGAAGGCTAATCATGTTTTGGGTGTACTATTCCTTTAAGCTCTGGGTACTAACATCATCATGGATCTGGACCACATCAGCCAGCAAGGGTAAAAACCCCTTAGTCTAACCTGTCTAACTATCAAGATTATATTTCTTCCAGCTCACAAGAAGTTAAAAACATTCTTTAATTTCTACCAAAAGGAATCCCTGAATTATATCCAAAGAAAATATTTCATTGAGTTCTGTTTTTTTTGTATAAAGTTCCAGATGAAAGTGTATGTAGATCTATAGATCTAGCTATATCTCTCTCTCATTGTTATCGTTTCTATATATTTAAATATGATGTAAAGGTTTCCTTGTATTGTCACTGAAACATTTTCTCTGTTTCTTTTAAGGGGTCTCATCCCATTTTCTGCAGAAAAGAATACTTGCTTTGTTTGGTTTTCCTTCCTAGGACAATAAGGGGTTATTATTAACCCTATCCCCAGTGATCGGAAGTGAACAACCTCTTCCCTCCATTGAAGACATTTCATCCCAGCGCTGCGTGTCCCGAGCCCATAACATCATCAATGACCCCTCACCCAACACACCACCAACCCCCCCACCCCACCATGGACTCTTCTCCCAGCTGCCCTCTAGGAAGAGGCTTCAAAGCATCCGATGCAGGTCCAGCAGATTCCACAACAGCACAACAGTTTCTTCCACACTGCAGTGCCGGCCCGAGCATCTTGGGGGCCCTGAGCAGAATTTGATTTGGATCCCCCCCCCACCCCCACCCCCCACCCCCACCACCATGCAGAATCAACTATACTAGAACATTACTGATACAAATGCATCACTATAATGTTATAGTGAATATTGTAAATGAATACACTACCGTTATGTATTAATACAAAATAAATAAATAAACAATACTTACAATACTTTCTTTTGTTAAAACTGTTGAATACAAACATGTTAAATAAATTATTTGCAAATGTGCATTAAATATGCAATATTTTAAACAAAACCCAAATAGACAAAATTAATATAATCAAAAATAGATTATTACAAAAGAGACACTTAAATAATCAAAGCAAACATAGAAACAGCAAGGGTTCAACAGTGACAATTGTACAACAATGACCTCAACATTGTTCCTTCCTAGCTTCTCTGGAGGCAAAGTGACTGACGACATTGTATGGTATCGTTTGGCCTACTTGGTAATTGATACTAATGACTGCAAGTCCACTTTTTCCTGGGCCATTGATGATCTCAAGTATGATTTTATTAATTTGAGTTTGGAAAAGCTCCTCTCTGCTGAGGCAACTGTCACAGGCAGAATGCAGGCTATCCTGAGAGCTACCCAAGGATTTGGGTAAACCTCACACATCTCATTTTGTGAGATGTATGTGAGAAGCTCAAAGGCAGTCTTCATAGTTTAGGGAAGTTCAGGAAGACTCTCCTGTCTCTAATGCCATATCAGCTTCCTCTCCACAAGAGAGTTTTTCCCCAAGAAGCTCACATTTTTCCCTTCGGACCTTTTGACCAAGCTCCCTAAAATTGAGCAGCACTCCAAAGTTATCTTTAACCTCACTTAGAGATGTAAATCTATCCTCCAATGACTGAATGCTACAGTCCACTACAGCATTAAAAAATGACACTCTTCATATCAATTCAATTCAATTCAGTTTATTTCTATAGCTCCAATTCACATCATGTCATCTCAAGGCACTTTAGAGTTCACCAGATCATCCAGTCAGATTGAATCAAATTTTTCTGTCTAAGGAAAACCAGCTGATTGCATTCATTTATTGACTCGAAGGCAATCCCTCACACTAAGCATGCTTGTTGCGACAGGAGAGAGAAAAAACTCCTTTTAACAGGAAGAAACCTCTAGCAGAACCAGGCTCAGTGTGAGCGGCCGTCTGCTGAGGCCCACTGGGGTTCAAGGAGACAGAAGCAGAGATAGAAAAAGAAGCATAGATACAAAAGGCAACTGTCAACCAGCTCCACAGGCGTCCAGGAAACACACAGCCAGGCAGACAAGCTCCGAGCCAGCTCCCATGTCAGAGGATGAAGAGAGCACATCCAGTTAGTCACAGTCAGAGAAACAGGAAACTACACTGGAAAACAGGCCAAGCTCCAACATCTAGAAACAAAGGTGTTGATGGCAGCAGCACAGCTGATATTTCTCTCCAGAATGGAGTCACAGCCAAACAGGAACAGACCAGATGAAGCTACTATGAGAAAAAGCAGAGAGAGCAGAACGTTAGAGATTGAACTAACAGATTCTGCAGAGTGAGAGATAGAATGAAGCAGAATGATGAAAAAGGGGTCCCTATGTCCTCCAGCAGTCTAAGCCTATAGCAGCATAACTATAGAGATAGCTCAGGATAACCTGAGCCACTCTAACTAGAAGCTTTATCAAAAAGGAAAGTTTTAAGCCTAGCCTTAAAGTAGACAGGGTGTCTGCCTCACGGACTAAAACTGGTAGTTGGTTCCACAGGAGAGGAGCCTGAGAACTAAAAGATCTGCCTCCCATTCTACTTTTAGAAATTCTAGGAACCACTAGTAAACCTGCAGATTGAGAGCGAAGTGCTCTGTTAGGAACATAAGGAACAATCAGATCTCTGATATCAGATGGAGCTTGGCCATTTAAGGCTTTATATGTGAGAAGGAGGATTTTAAATTCTATTCTGGATTTAACAGGAAGCCAATGAAGAGAAGCCAGGATAGGAGAGATATGATCTCTCTTTTTCATTTTCATCAGAACTCTGGCTGCAGCATTTTGGATCAGCTGAAGGCTTTTAACTACAGTTTGTGGACTTCCTGATAGTAAAGAATTACAATAGTCCAGCCTTGAAGGAAGCAGCCCTAGTCCTGCTTCCTTGACTTTGATTGATGTATGACAATTTAAATCATTTCATGCTTGCTCAATTACAGGGACATGAAATTATGTATTAAACAATTAAACAGTGATATTCAGTTCTTAAATTGAAATAAAAACATCTAAACTTGTGCCTTTAAAAATAATTACATACATTTAAAATAAATTCACTACTCAATTTAAGTGACACATCTAAATGGTTATTTCATAAGTAATTTACTTTATAATGGCACTTGACACCCTCCATAACCATCTTTATTACATGTTCTTAAAGCCTGCTTTAGGAGCCCCCCTAGTGGATGATAGGATGCATTGTTTTGTCCTTGTTTTGCAGGTTCTTGTACAGAGTTCTGGTGTTTCCTGTCACTGTGGGCTGCAGAGCACAGTAGTACACAGCAGAGTCTGACAGACGGAGATCCTGGATCGTCAGATCGAAGGCTGATTTATTGACCTGAGCAGTAAATCGGTTTCTATTGAACTCTGGAGCATTGTCACTTCTTTTAATATATTCCTTGAGCATGTACTTTGGAACACCTTGGCCTTGTTGTTTATACCATAACAGAGCATAATTTGTAGAAATGGTCTCAAAGGTACATCCCAGAGTCACAGATTCTCCCTGAGCAGCAGCAACATGTCCTTCTGTCTGCGTCACTGAGTCTCCTTTACACTCTGAGGAAGAACAGAACATGCAGAGGAAGAGATGAATCAATAAAGATGATTGATTAAAGGAGAACAATCAGCAGCTTTAAAGACTTCTATTCCATGTAGAATAGATGTCATTTTCTCTGATCATTGTCACTTTGAACCATATCAGGTGTTTCTACAAGGTAACAAATGGCAGCAGAAATGATCTGCTCTGATTTTCTGTAGAATGAACATTAAAGCTCTTCATGTAGAGCTCAGTAATGTGTTCAAGTGTTTGAAGAGGAAACATGTTGAGCTTTCTATCTTACCAAAGAAAAGAGCAGCTAGAATAATCCACAGCCAATGTTCCATCTGTCCAACAAGGTTTAAATCAGCAGGAGAAACTAGCTGATGTTCAACATTCAGTCTGACTATTGTTCTCTTCACAGCAACACTTATTATTGACACAATGCTGGAACACAGAGCACAAGGAGAGCTCCGCCTACTGGATGATGGCGCCCTCTGGTGGATCTGCAATACAGATTTAAACAATGTAAATATGAGGCTTCTAGTTGCTTGTCATATAGTGGGGTGGGCAGTAGAAACTAGTTTTCCTGGATATTATTTATAGCAAGCAAAATGAATAGCAGCTATCATCATAATATGGTGGAATACTGTATTTTAAATACCTGATTATAAGCCTTCTTTTAGGTGATTTTAGCTGACTCAATTTGGATCAATTTTACCATGTCTCTTTATGCTTATTTTTAAATTGATCTAATTATTCTTAGTAAACAGTGGTAATCCATCCAAAATAACTTATCCTAGATGAATAAAGAATTAAAAACAGCCATCTTAATGAAAGACTAAATATTCTTTAACACTGGTTCCCATCTAAGGAAAATGTCTGTCTGGCACTTTATATGCAGAAATAACAGAGGAGCCCTGCATGGTCTTGATTTTATTGTGATAGTTTAGATTAGTGCCGTAATTTTACAGTATGTGCCTCTTCTTAACTGTTAGAGATGGTTTACTCCAAAACACTGACAGCTCAGGGTGCAGACCAGGAAGCAGATTTGTAGTTTAACACACCTCTCTGCAGCTTCTCTACTGTTACCCACTTTTTACTCCATCAAGACATCTTTGAGGCTTTGCATCAAAAAATACTGCACAAAATCAGTTCAATGAGTGCAATGCAATACCTCGGCTCCAGATGTCCCCGCCCCCTCCACAGACGCTCCGCTGCTCCTCTCCCAAATTGTAGCTGACCGCAGACAGTGCCGCAGACAGGAGGCCTGCTTGTTTTGTTTTCACGACCGAAATTGCAGAAAACAACTCGTGAAGTTTGACCCTTTAGAAGAGCGAGGTGCGTGAGAGCGCTGGGACCATTTTTCCACCTGGATCTCCGCTCTTTTTGGCCCTCATGTCCCTCCGTCGTCGGATGAAACTCGCCCCCACTTCCTCGCCGCCTCGGCCGTATCTAGACCCACAGAGTGTAGCACAGACCACGCTTCAATATTGAGCATAAATAAAAAATGTCTGTGTCAAGCCCACTGCAACAAACTGCTGCAGGAGGATAACCAGGAAGCGCGGTAGGAGGGCAAAATAGGTTTAGCGCCACCGCAGCACGTGAGGGAGAATTACGCCCAGGAGCAAATGGATAAAAACAGACCGGAGGAAAAAAAAACATGAATCGATTATGTTGCGGACGTATCGATGCATCGGATCGTCAGCTGTTGGATCGACGCATCGTTACAAAATGATTATTATTTACAACCCTAATAATCACATTCATTTGTATTGCCTTACAGAATCTTGGCTGCAGCAAGAGGATTGTATGAGCATAAACGAGGCAACTCCTAGTTATTTTAATTTTCACATCCCCAGACATTCGGGACGAGGAAGAGGAGTAGCAACAATCTTTCGGTCTGACTTTCTGATTACTCCAAAGATGGTTAATATTTAAAACTCTTTTTGATATATAGCCTTTAGTTTCCCTGATATAAATTGCAAAGCCACAAAACCTCTTCTTTTTGTAACTTTGTATCATCCACCAGGTCCTTAATCTGAATTTTTGGATAAGAATCTGATTTAGCTTCATCGTAGTGAGGGGATTTTAAAATCCATGCTGACAGTGAAGATGATAGCTTCATTGCAGCCTTTAATGCTTAATTGTACTGATATATCAGTGAAACTAATGATATGTATTAGTTTTACTGAATGTGTATTCCAGATATCTGAAAAAAACAATTTTACTTGTCAAAATTAACATTTCATACAAAATGTAATTCTTCATATCTAGAATAAACATTCTGGATGTCTAGAAATTAATTTCTGTTGTTCTTATTGCATTTGCATTATTTTGAATATGAATAATGTATTACAGCCACTTAAAAGAATTTTCAGAAATTTTTGTTTTTACTGCAAAAATGTCATTTAGAAAATAAATGATTACGGTTTATTCTAGGAATGTGATTTTCATCAGAAGAACTCCTATTTTAATTATCTAAAAAAGTAACAACAGAGGAAAGGGCTTATACTAAATGTAAAAATGACATGCCATAGTGGCTTCATAGTAACTTACACATTAACTCGAGCAACAATCTTCTCCTTTGCCATCACCCTCTCTGTTGCAGCTGTATTGGTGTTTCTATGTCTTTTAAACACATTCTCCATTTCCAGTGGTGTCAAAAGTAGAAGTATAGATACTGCAGTTTAAAAACACACTGGTAAAAGTTGAAGTATCAACTTGACCTCTTTACTCAAGTAAAAGTGAAAAAGTATGTGTTTCAAAAAACTACTTAAAGTATAAACATCTGGATGCCACTATATGAATTGAAAGCTACATTTTTCGACTATTTCTAGGGCTATTTATAGGACTATTTTATAGGGCCAAGGATAAGGGAGGTCTTGTTGGTCTCCGTCTCACGATATGCTCTCGCCTGTGTCCGACCTTTTAGACATTTCAACATCTTTTTCTGAATCCCACATTGTAGCATTGCATAGACAATTCATGTTAGCAGTTTGAAGAACACCTGCTTGCTTCTGATGATTTCCTTTAGCTAACCAATGACTGTTTGCGTTCTATGACTCATCCAATCACACTAGTTTTCACTAGATGTGGATGGAGGCAATGATCTGCATTGGATGGAGCACATGACGGGAAATAAATATTTATAAACATTAAACCACAGGGAACCAATTAAAAATCAGCTGGTCCGAATAAAGCAAATCATCAACCAGTAAAGGTCCAGAGACATTTTTAATGATCTGTTACTTTAAACAGAATTTAACACTGAAATAAAATCAGGTATTTATGCATTCTTGTTATACATTGAATTTTGAAATAAAAAAAAATTTAAATACAATTTGCCAAAAATTGATTCCCGTGCTATATCAGAGGAGTTGAACCTTGTATGACTGTATTACTGTATATCCATCAGTAGTTAAAGGTCAAGGGTCAGCAAATGCTAATTCTGCCTGTAAAACAATTACAGCGTAATTGTTGCTGTATGACCTGAAGCCTCATTTGGAGCTTTTAAACAGGCTTTTGAAAAACTTTGATAATTTGCTGCTGTAATATAGATTTTTTTTATAATAAAAAGCTAGAAGATGTGCATAATCAAAAAATAACAAATACAATTATAGAGCTTTCAGTATTGTAAGAAAACTGTTTCTGCATAAATACATTATTGTATGAGTTAAAGGAATAGTACACCCAAAACATGATTAGCCTTCATTTTCTACTCACCCCCATGCTGAACAACACTCTGGAGTACTTTTTTGATATCTCAAATGCATCTGGAGATCTGGGAGGCTTCTTGCTGTCTGCTGACATTCAAATAATGGAGGTCTATGGCGCCCGAGACAGACAGGTCCATAAAAGTCCACAAAAAACGTGTCAATATTCCTCCATACTGCTCGTCCAATGTATTCCAAGTGTCCTGAGTGGGTAGCGTCCAGAATTTACTCGAAACGAAGTCATTTAGAATGTTTTTAGAGCATAAACAGTAGTGTATAGGATTTCCTGAAAGCGCGCACATGCGCGATCACGACGCTACGGAAGCCGGCAGACCAAACCAGATGAAAGTGCGCATTCAGCGTCTGCTCTTCCAATAATGCAAGCATAGAAGAAGAAATGTGGTTTTTACCTGTGCAAAGAAAGAAACAACGACAGAAAAATGTCTGAGGACTTCAGTGTTGAGGAAGAGCATGAGTTCTTTGCCGAGCTGAATGCGCTGGTTTGGTCTGCCGGCTTCCGTAGCGTCGGGATCGCGCATGTGCGCGCTTTCAGGAAATCCTATACACTACTGTTTATGCTCTAAAAACATTCTAAATGACTTCGTTTCGAGTAAATTCTGGATGCTACCCACTCAGGAAACTTGGAATACATTGGACGAGCAGTATGGAGGAATATTGAAACATTTTTTGTGGACTTTTATGAACCTTTCTGCCTCGTGCGCTGGGCACCTCCATTATTTGAATGTTAGCAGACAGCAAGAAGCCTCCCAGATCTCCAGATGCATTTGAGATATCAAAAAAGTACTCCAGAGTGTTGTTCAGCATGGGGGTGAGTAGAAAATGAAGACTAATCATGTTTTGGGTGTACTATTCCTTTAAGTTCTGTTCCGTTTATGTCTCTTTCCTTGTAAGTGTGAAGTGTCCCATGCTCCTGAATGCATCATAGCTATGTGACGCTCGTTAATGCATCACACTGGTCTGTGAACGCTGTGCTGTGTAGATGTGCGTTTGATTTTCTGCTTAAGACAAAGCTTTGTAGTTTCACTGTTTATTGTTGTGTGTGAATAACAAGAGACTAGATCAAATAAATCGGACAAAATCTTTGGAATTAATATTATTCATAACACCCGTACAGGGGATGCATATCTCAACAGGGATGCACTTGTCGGCATAACACCGGACCGCGGTCCGCTAATCCGTAACCTCTGCATTAAACCAAAGCCAATAGTAACAAGTAACGTTTGTTTTAAAAATGTAAGGAATAGAAAGTACAGATACTTGCGTGAAAATGTAATGACTAGAAGTCATAAGTAGGAAGAAAAATAAGTAATGGAGTAAAGCATGGATACCTAAAAAGTGTACCTAAGTACAATAACGAGGTATTTGTACTTCGTTACTTGACACCTCTGTCCATTTCTTCAAATTCTTCATTAAAATTTGTAGTTCCAGTGGGGTGAAATAGGCATGTCCTGTTGCGTATTGTTATGTTTACTCATCAAATTGGGGTTTCACTTATACTGGCTTTTTGTCATGATCGGTTCTCTAATGGAGACCCAAAGATGCAGAACACCACTGACGGACACAGGATGAAAAGTTTAACAAGTTTATTTGCACAAGCACACAATATGCCGATGACTGGTTAGGGCCTGGAATCTGGTTTCACCGGAGTCTGCGTGAGAGACAGCACAGTTAAGGACTGTTGACGGGGTCTTGGTTTCCAATGGAGCTCTGA